TGTGTGTGTGTGTGTGTGTGTGTGTGTGTGTGTGTGTGTGTGTGTGTGTGTGTGTGTGTGTGTGTGTGTGTGTTTGCTAGCTTGGCACTGCCCACGTTAGCTTCTGTGCCAGCTTCACGGGTGTCTTAGATTAACACTGAAGAGCCTCTTTGATGATGAAACACACGCCCGTCGCACAGATTGCTCCTCTTTTCTCTTCTCTCTTCGTCTCCTTTATTTATCAATAAGTTGATTGATCTTCTGTGTTGCAGCGTTTCTCTTAGCAGTAATCTGCATCAGTCTGTCCGAGACGTCTCTGTTGAGGCATTAAACACAGTGAACTGCTAGGTGACCACAGTATGATGGTCTAATACATTTTGCCCAGTTTCATCTGGATTAAGCCAGTTCATGACAGGTAGTTCAGGAAACGTGGTTTTGTTTTGTCCCTTTTTCTGTTTATTCTGCTTTGATCCAATTGTTCCACGTTGTTTTTGTTTGGCCAATTAAAAGTGATTTCAATGTGAGTGTGCAGCTAAATCCATAAAACATGAAAGAGAATCCCAATCAGTCATTTGGAGTCAGTGGGGAGAAAGAACTCCCTCTGAATGGGAGTAGGCCGAAAGACAGAAAAGAAGAGCGTTTTATTTGGTTTTACTCTGGATTAAGTCTTTTCCCTAACTTTCCATGTGTTGGTCTGAACATCCCATTTGGTTTGATTTGGTCCACTTCATCTGAATCTGTGATTTGTTCAGACTGGGTTGTTCCACTTAGGCCAGATTAGCACCAGCTGCTCTTTTATTCCACTTTTCCGGTTTTAGTCCGTTTTATTCTGGGTTAAGCCAAATTCCTATTGGCTTTGTTTAACTGGTGCGATTCATTCCTTTTGTTTGCTTTAGTTCTGTTTAGTCTGGAGCCTGTCAGCTGGATAACTGGAAGAAGATGGATGGATGGACGGACGGATGGATGGACGGATGGATGGACGGATGGACGGATGGACGGATGGACGGATGGATGGATGGATGGATGGACGAATGAACAGATGGACGAATGGACGGATGGATGAATGGATAGATGGATGGATGGACGAATGGACGGATGGATGGA